GCAGTCCCCTGCGGGGAGGGCTGGGAACTCACCGTTGGACCCAGCCCCCGCGGAGCGGCTGGCTACAGCGGCCCACCCACCTGGCCAGCTTGGTGGGGGGCACCCGGAGGGGCCGGGGCCTGAGCCTGGGGCTGCTTCGCGCTACAGGAGACACCAGAGTGAGAAGGTCCCAGAGGGGCTGTCCCTGGTGCCCACCGAGGCGGGGCGGGCGAGGCTCCGGTGGGGACGGGCCGGGCCCGGGGTGAGGGAGGGCAGGGGCAGGGCCGAGGATGCCCCGGCCCCGCAAAGGCCGCAGCCAGGGGAGGCCGCTGCCCCGGGCACACGGCACAAAGGCGCAGGCCGCAGAGCGGTCCCGGCGAGACTCGGAGCGAGAGGCGACCTCCCCGGCCCCACCGACGCCCCCAGGTCAGGCACAGGCCGCCCACTCACCGTCCAGCTCCGAAGCACCGCCCACGCTGCAGCTGCCCGCCTCCCCAGTGCTCAGTTCCAGCGCCACCCTGACGCCCGAGGGCCCCTCCAGCTTGTACACCAGGGACAAGAAGATCCTGGGCGGCACCGGGACGTGCAGGGAGAACAGCCTGCGGAGGCCGGCGCTGAGCTGAGAGCCAGGAGACCGCGGCCAGGCGGCTCCACCCCGGCCCCCACCGACGCTCGCGGCCAAAAGCTGAGACCACGGCCGCGCCCTCAGAGACGCCCAATGCAATGAGCCCCGGGCCGGAAGCGGGGCTCTGCGGGCGGCGGGGGGCTCTGGATGCAGTCTGCGGGGCGCCCCCAGGCCCCGCCGGGGTCCCCAGGCATGCGGGTGCAGAAGGGGTCTTCCCTCCCCCCTCCCCTGGCCCCGAGTCTGGCCCCACGCACGCACCTCACCGCCACGTCTCCGGCCTCGGGCGGCAGGTGCCCCTGGACGAGCAGGGAGCTGCCCCCGTGCCAGGCGTCCGTCAGGCAGCAGTGCGTCTTCACCCAGCCCTGGCCGCCGCCCTCCGGCCGGTGCTCCCCAAACAGGGGCTGGATGTCCTGGGCGCTCAGGTGGTACCAAGGCCCCACCGCCTCCTCCTGACGGAAGGCGGGTCAGCCGCAGGCGGCTTCCTCGTCCCCCGGCCCGCCCACCGCGCCCGGCGGGGCCGCCCCTGCCCCGTGCCCGCACCTGGCCGTAGCAGACGCGCCGGAGGCCCATGCCCAGGCAGAAGGAGGTGACGAAGGGCAGGGAGCAGATGCTGTGTGTGGGCAGGTGGGGCGCCAGCAGACTCCAGAACCTGCGGGAGCGGGGTCCCACAGCTGGGAGGGGACCCGGGCCTCGGGGCCCCTGCGGGAGCCGCCAGCGCCGGGCTGCTTTCTCCTCAGAGGAGTGTCCCCTTCACAAGGGCACGGCCCGAGCCACCTGGAGCCGCGGGGAGCCCCCATGAGCCAGCGCCCCGCGAGACTCACCTGTCCTGGTTCTGGAGGAAATCCTTCTTCTCCAGGCACTCGTACACCCAGCCGGGGGCGAACAGGGCCGCCGAGAAGCCGTGCTTGCGGACCAGCTCCAGCGACTGCGGGGACGGCAGTCAGGGGCCCGCCCGGCTGCGCCGGC